CCCAAGAATCCTCCACCCTAACGAATGAGACACAGGGAGACAGATGTGGAGGGCACACACAGAGAACAAATCCCACCTATCCACAGTGAACTGAGCCAGCCCCTCAAGGAGTGGAGAGCAGGGGAGAGTCTGAGGACCAACATGGTTTTCTGAACAACCCGTGCTGACATGCTCAGAGGCACAAGTACCAGGCATATTCCTGGGTTCTGCTGGCCTAGAAAGGTCCCCTTTTTAACAGCAGAGAGGTTTATGCCTCTAGCCTGCTGCAACCATCTCAGTGTCACCAGGAGAAATTAAACTCAAGCTCAGGAAGACATCCAGAGGACTGGTTCACCTTTCCTCCCCATCTTTCCCCCGTCACCTGGCACCACCTGAGACCAGACTCCCCTCCAAGATATGGGCTTGTGAGGACCTGTTTTGCACTGCTGGGCCAGGCACTGCCTGCTGCTGAAATAAGAAACCCAACATATTTCAGATGTGCACCCAAACGCCCTGAAGGAGACAGACACTTTCAGGAAAGCAAAATACTACGAAAAGCACATCAGGGATGATTTATCGACAAAGCAACTGCGAGCTCCGGTTTCAAATCAGCCTGCTTTTCACGGGCTGGCTTAAGCCAGAGGCAGCAGGACTAATGAGAGAAAAGCCCTACACCAGACTCCTCTAGAGAAGATTGAGTTTGGGGGTAAGGGCGCTGTGACACCGACAGAGCCGTCAATTACTGGAGACACAAAACCAAGGTTCTGACCACACGTGGTCATGGCAATTTTTATAGGAGTAGGGCTTTGATTCCGCATGGCTCAGGTCTCTCTCCGTAGAGGATTGTGAAGGTTTCCTGGTGGGAGTGTGAGGAGATGTTACTACGGGAGGTAGCATGAGTGGGTCCTGAACTGGAAAAGCAAAGAGGAAGGGTTCAGTTTGAAAACCCCTGCCAAGGCCAAGATCACAAGCACGTCCCACTCTCCAGTGTCCATCATGCCCCAGCACGAGCATTCAGAAGGCACATGTCTGGGAAAGAGGGGTGGATGAGGGAACCGAACAGTCCAGCAGAGGATTATTTGTTCCCTTTGAGGGGAGCGCGAATGGAAGAGTCTGGGAGATCTCAAGCCAATGCCTGCTGGGCATTTCTCCCACGTTGCTCTAGCAGCCCCAACAGCCGTCAAGTCGCAAGAACGGCCAACTACCAGACCATCTGCGTGGGAGGTTACTAGTTAGGGAGGGCTGCCGGGGTTTTCACTAGGAGTAACGTGGGGAGATTAAGAAAAGGAAGCATTCGGCTGAATACAAGGAACATTTTCCTAAAGGCAAACAGTGTTAGGTTGCTGACATCTCTTCACGAGTCCCAGGTGGTCAGATGGTCATAGGGCAGTGGAGAGCCATTAGAAAGTGGCAGTTTATCCAGGAGATCTGGATTCAGGGACCTCGCTCCTGGGCTAATGGGTGCTGGGAAAGTTTCTCCATCCTAGGGTTCTGAACAGCACTTTAGGTTGGTTGAGGAACACCTCTGGCCACCCAAAGACCAGCACTGGTGGAGAGCATTGCTAGCTTTGCTCAGCTGCTGGGGTGACTAGAAAATGTCTCCCAACCAAGGGCTTTAAAGGAGAGAAAAGGTAATGTTTGGTGGAGGGGAGGAATCTCACAGGGCAGCCTGTCTGACCCCAAAGTCACCCACCTTCACCTTTCTCTGAAATACAGAGATGCATATTTGAGTAACCACAACAGACTAAACCAAATAATCTAAACCAGTTAAAGAGTCAGAATATTTTCTTCACACTAAGTGAATAATTTATGGCCAGAGCTATAATAATAATAACAATAATAATAATAATAATAAAAGCCCTCTCCAGTCATCTACCACAGGAAAATGTACCCAGAATAAAAGATCACATTTCAGGCTCATAAATAAATGAAAAACAAAACCCACAGTAAACAGAGAGGAAAGCGTTTTTCCCCAGGCTTCCCAACATTGCTGCAGAAACAGCCATGCAGCTGACCCACACTGCTCTAGGCACCCGCATGAAAAGCATACCATAGCCGCTTAAATTGAGGGAAGATTCTCTGCGTCAAAGTCATAAAATAACCCCCCCTCTCCCTGCCATCCACCAGCATGGTTCAAACCCTGGAACTTCAGAACCAAGCCACACATTTCAACTATGTGAGTTAACAGACGAAGTCCTTTAGCTGGCAGCACGGGCAGGCTATTATCCTCTGTGCAAACTAGCCACTGGAGGGGGACATAAATACTTTGAGAGTGTTACACTAAGCAGCACAAGCTGAGTTAGGCAGTATGGGAGCTGGAGAGCCACAGGGATTTTTCCATGTCCAGCAGCTTAAGTAAAGAACCCCCTTTACATTCATTACAGCCCAGCCGGTCTCTCCTCCTCTGTAGCGGAATTACAGAGCGGCGGGCATGGTGTGGCAGGAGTGCTGTACTGTGCAGGGTTGATGTATGGCTGGGCAGGAAGCAGAGACACTAGAGAGGTGTGGGAGGGAAGGCTAGAGGAGGAAGTTCGGAGCATTGAGGTCTTAATGGCCAGTAGGAAAGACAGGCCCAGGATCTCTTCGCTGCGGAGTCACCTTCTCCAGAAAGGCTGAAGGCCCCCATGGCGAGGCAAGTGGGTTAATGAAGCGCAAGGACACCATGTGTTCTCTGCATGGTGCCAGAATGCCAGCTGCAAATGAGACCATGCTGCCCATTGCACCCTGCAGAGCCTGAAGGGGAAGCCAGACAGCAAACAACATCCCTGACAGTTCCAGAGTCGCAGCAGGTCTGGCCCGCCGGGACCGGTGCAGAGAATGGCCTGAGGCGAACGGAGTCAGCCCCCACTGGGGTTCTCACCAGGAAAAGTTCTCACTAGAAAGACAGCACAATGGTTTTTATTGCTGCACTAACAGAACCTCTCCTTGATAAGCTGAAGGACGGATTGGCACCGACTCACCACGTTCCTACTGCACACCCAGACCCCCTCCTCACTGCAGAGCAGGGTCTGACCCTGGAAGGGGGCCAGCTGTACCTCACACCCTGCTAGCCCACTGACGGCCACTGCAGGGCAAGCTTTCCCACAGCCTGACCCCACCCTCCTAGCAGGAAAGAGGTGCCTCGCTCCCAGAAGCTCTGATCTCCTCTGCTCCCAGAACCCACTGGGACACAGAGCGAGCGTGTTACTTCTCCAAGGGTATGTCTATACTGCAATCATGGGGCTGACACAGCCAACCAAACTCTAACTAGCACGGGTACTGAAGTAGGGAAGCCAGGGCAGCACGTGTTTCAGCATGGCCTGTACAAGCCAACCTAGAACTCTGGGTAATTACTTGGGGGGCAGCCTGCTCTGAAGAGCGTATTGCTCCAATACCCAAAGTAGCTAGATTACAGCTAGCTCAGGTACGTCTGCACAAGCTGCAATCACATGCGGTAACTGCAGTACCGGTAGGAGCCAGGAATCCTTTGAAGCACCATGTGAATTGGAGCGGGTTTCTGGGATCTGGAGCCATGAGGTTAAGAACAGAGTGGGCTGAAAACTTCGGACAACTTGTTGGGGTTTTTTTTGGTAGGAAAATGCTGATCCATCTAAACCAAAATTTTTCTGCAGGCCAGGGTCCATTTTGAAGGATTTCTTACATGAAAAAAACCTAAACTTTCAAAACTGTCCTAATGTTTGTTTTTATATTTTCTAAATGAAAACTGACAGTTTTCTGGTTCAAAATGATGTTTGGTTTGGAAATTGTAGCAAATTATATATATTTAAAAACAAAAACATTTAAATGGTTGAAGTTGAAACAAAGTGTTTCAAACTTATTGAAACAAAACATTTCAGTGGACCAGAGCCAAAGTTTTATTCGGATTTTTGGTTTGCAAAAATTTGAGATTTTGACATTTCATTCCAAGTTAGTAAACAGCCAGAAGTTAATGCACGAAGGGCCATGTGACTTCTCTGGGCATTAATGTTCTGCCACTGGGTTATTAGCAGCTGGGCATCACCGTATATGTGGTAATGTACAAGTCTCACACTGCAGAGTAACCAGGAACCTACATCAGTGCTACACAATACCCACAATGAAGAGCAACATCTCCCCCTGCTGTTGAGTATAACCCTACCCCTTACTGACAAGTTCTAAGAGTAGGATCACAACCAGTCAAAATCTAGAACATTTTGTGCAGGGGTGTGGGGGGCATGACAAACAGTGCCATAAACCAAACCATACTGTCAGGCCATGTTGTATTATGCTTTGAAATCCATATAAACATGCTACATTGTACATGATAATTCTCACACCATTATTCTAAAATAAAACAATCAAAAACTTTCCCCCAGTCTGTCTGAAGCCATCTCCCCAGCTAATCTAGTCCAGTGAAGCTATGTGGCATGTCCCTATTTTTCCCCCTTTATTTCTCTAGGTCAAAGATTGGCAATTGTGCAACACAGAGGAAATCCGAAGATGTGAATTTTGGGTGATCAGAAATCCATTTTGCCCCCAAACAGCAAAAAGATTTGCACAAAATCTGAATTTCATTTACCTACAACTCTTGTTCCTCCACCCAGCTAGGTCCATGGGGATCATAACTTTAAGGACTAACATTATAGGCCTAATCCTGAGAGGGGCCAGGTGCCCTCAGCTTCTGCCAACTTCAAGAGTTGAAAGTGCTCATTGAGTTGGAAGTGACATTCAGCATCAATCAGGATCAGGCCCAGAATGAATCAGATTTGGGACATGGGCCAACCCCATTCACAAGCACCACCACCCCAACTGCCTGTTACAATCAGATGCACATCCTCTCAGGGCACTGCATCTCCTCCATCAAGCTATGGAGGGACTTTGTGACACCTCTAAGTTTACGTGGTCAAGTGAGCAGAAAGCCTCAGCAGAGCCCTGTGCAGCAAGTCCCGGCTTGCCACAGGCTCGTGCATTGGCCTCTGGGAAGCAACGGCCTCCGTACTCATGACCAGTTCAATGGTACAGGAGAAGGAAGTGTGACATCAGTCCGAAGGGGGGTTTCCTACCTCGGGGTCTGCTCCTGCGTTTCCGCTTCCCCATCGACGTGCTGCGCAGGGCCGGCTGGAGCTGGCCGATCTCAATGGGCGTGTTGGTGCGGAAACTCTCCTTGAACTTCTGCATCAGGGACTCCACTGTCTCCTGCGTCGCCTCAGCGGCTACAATGTGGGCAAGGGGGTGAAGGTTAAAAGACGTGTGGACATCGAGAGCTGAGGTGCTTCCTAAACCTTGCTGGCCACTGGGGCACCCGCCCACCCAGAGCCGTGCAGGGCTGAGGCAGTGGGCAGCACTGGCCATTTGGAAAGAAAGGCTCAGATCTGTCAAGTCACCTCATGCCAGACAAGCGAGCAGGGCTTCCCAATGCAGACAAGGGGCATGAGACTGAAACCCTTTCAGTCATTTCAGGCTATTCATTGCACTTCTCAGGCACACACCTGCATTGGGAGCATCCTGCAGCCACATTCCCCAGCAGGGCTGCAAGACACTTCCAATGTGCCTGACTCCAGAGAGTGTGCCTGCTGCAAAGGAACAGCTCATGCCCGTCGGGGCTCAACCAATTCTGCAGGAGGGATGTCATCATGGCCCCACCTTCTACCCACCTATTTTGGGAGTGCCGTTAAGTTCCTGGAGGATAGGTCCATCAATGGCTATTAGCCAGGATGGGCAGGGATGGTGTCCCTAACCTCTGCCAGGGGATCAGCAACAGGCGATGGATCACTTGATGCTTACATGTTCTGTTCATTCCCTCTTAAGCACCTGGCATTGACCACGGTCAGAAGACAGGATACTGGGATAAAGGGACCTTTGGTCTGACCGAGTGTGGCCGTTCTTAAGTTTAGTACCAACCTTGTGGAGTCCTGGCATTCCCCTGAGCACAAGGACCAGATTGTACCTATCCCATGACCAGAGGAGCAAGGGGCAGGGAAAGTGTCTTTGTGCTACCCTCCCCACTTGCCCTCACCTAGTGCTGAGCACAATCCTGCCTTATGTTTGTAGGTGTCCTTACACACTTCTATACCATGAACTCTTCTAACACTGGCCATTGATACTACAGCCATAGGAAACCCTGAGTGAGACTGCACTTTCCCGGGCTCAGCCTAGGGAATTTCCAGCTAAACCGAAGATGTGCAAGCTTTTCCAAGAGAACCAGGGCCTAGTTACACATAAAGCCGGGGCTGATTTATGGGTTTGCAAAGCGATGAGAGGTTCACAGCTTCAAGCCAGGTGGAACACAGGGATTTTGCCCATGTTTCACATTGAGGTTCTAGGTTCATTTGAACTGAGGCCTACGAGGTACCAGCACATTCAGATCCCAGCTAGGCATGCTTGTGCAGCAAACCCAAACCCAAAGCTAAGTTCTGTACAGTTTCTACTGGCTCATCAGGAGTAACAATGGCTTCCCAAGCCTAACAGCTGCAGCTACCAGCACCTAACCCCAGCAGAAAATCCCCTCCTTCCAAATTCCATCGGGGAGCAACAGCGGCTGAGCGTGGAAAATGGGGCTCTGCCATGGCACACGCCGAGGGAACATTTCTCCGTATTTAAAGGAACTTTGCCTTTAAACCCACATCGAAGAAGCTGCAATGAAAAGAAATTAGAATTGCTCCATCTAATGCACCAGCAAGCCAGGCCTGCAGAGAAGCGGGCAAGTACGGGAAATAATGCAACCACAAGCATGCTGAATTCCACTACCAAGCCAGCCTTATGCAGGCCTCTTCAAAGGCTACAGTCACCCAGGTTTGGGCAAGTTGTTTGTTCCCTGATATTTCCTCAAATATAATACTGGCCTCTGCTCCTGCATCCATTTTGAATTTCACATCATCGTCTTGTTATCAGTTCCACAAGCCATCCAAACCCTGGGGTTCTGGCCTGCTTTGGAGTTGGCACAGGTCACCAGCCCTAGGAATAAACTGCCCATAGACCACTCCCATGCAGGACATTTTCCTTGCCCTCTTGTAGACACTTGGGGGGGCTCCTTTGCATTAAAGGCTTCACCACCACCCTTGCCATCTGCTGGGCAACTCACTGGGCCATGCACACATCCATAGGGTTGGCTCACCTCACCCAAGCCCCGATTGGCTCACTTTTCAGGCTTTGTTCCGGTCATTCCTAGCGTTGCGTTCTTCCATTCGCTAAGACACGCAATACAGTCTCTATCGTAGTGCCCCTTCTCATGGTCTGGATTTGGACGCTCACTGCCTCTCCCGTGTGGCAAATGGCTGGGCTAATGCCAGGCAGAGGCCCTTCTCCTAGAACAGCTCTGCCAATCAAACGTCATATCCTGACCCGCAGCACCCCGACTCCCTCTTTCACGCCGCCCCCCCCCCCCCCCAGCTCTGCCGATCTTTGCCTTTCTGCATCCACGGCCAGCATTGTGTCCATGCTCCTCTCCTAAGCAGAGGCTCCCAGTCGTGCTGCGATCTGCTGAAGGATGCAGTGGTTTGCCACTGAGGACAAATGTCAGCTGGGGAAGTGGACTGGCAAAACTCTTTCGAGCTAGTGCTTTCGAGTTTATACTGCCCGGCCAGGATTAAAAGGCTAATGCATTAACCCGCTGCTCTTTCCCGGCGCGGAGATGCATCAGATATGTATTTTAATTGGAAATACTCTGGCACCTGGGGAGCTTGGGCTCTGTAACAGCCATGGGCCGTGGACTCCAATTCGCTTGCCAGCATGGGGCAGAGTCCATTTTAGCAGGGAACAGGAGGGCCCGTGACAGATCCCATGACAGATCCGTTGCGCCATGCGTGTCTGCACAGGCAACCACAATGTGTTCAAGGAGCAGAGGGCAATTCCCCAGGAAGCAAGAGCTTGTGAGCGGAGGATGTGGGCAGGAGGAAGTGGAGGAAGAGGGAAAGAGGACAGGAAAAAGGGAGGGTCTGGGAGTGATTGGGAAGGAGATATAGCATCTGGGCACTTTCATTCCAGTCCAGTGTGGCGACAGGTCCCTCTCTCCTGGGCTCGGATGTAACCAGGGGCTGCTCTGCCCTTCCTTTGCTGGCAGTATAATTTCACACTCAGTGGGGTGACAGCGCTGTTCCTAATACCATTAGCTGCTGGACATGTTGATGATTCCCTGTTCCTTTGAAGGGGTTTCACCAGAGCCAGAGATAATGCACCTGAATCTTCCGAATACCAACTTCTAAAGAGCTCCCATTCTGGAGCAGGCTTATCAGTGCAGACAGCCACGGCTCCGGGATGGGATGAGACCCGGCAGGCAGGAGCTGCTGTCTCCAAGGGAGGTGGGATTGCCCATCAGCAAGCAGCCCCAGCATTAGAGCTCTGAGACATCAGTCTGGATAGAAAGGATGTGTCTGTTACAGGCCAGTGCTGGGCTGTTAATACAAGCAAGCAGCCACACCAGCACACAAGCCCTTCCCTTGCTTTGACTCCCAAGAACCCTGCTGAGGAGCCCCAAGCCAGGCCTGTAGTAACAGGACAACACAGACACGGTGACCCTCCCTCCCCACCAATGTTATCCTATCACAGGGAAACCTGCTTTCATGCCCTCCCTCCCCCAAAGGCAGCGCTCCATCTATGTGGGCCTTCCACCAAGGTTTCCAGCACAAGTCTGTTTAAGCTGTGCTGAAAGGCTCTCTCCTTTGCAAGACCCCCCCCCCCCCCATTTGCTCCAGCCGCTGAGGTACCGCAGTGGAAGATGCCCGACATCAGCAACAGCTCGAAGCATCTCCCCTGCTTTCCAGGTGGTGCCCCCACCAGCGGCATGCTCAGTCCTGTCCATCTGAGCAGAGATCTGTATGCACACGGGCTAGCTGCACCATAACTGGACAGCCTCATATCCCTCTCCAGGGCCCTGGAGGCCTTTTCCAACTCCTGTCTGGAAGCTGCAGGACTCTTGCAAGCAGCAGCAGACGAGCTGTGAAGGGTTACCCACACACACACTCACTCAAAGGCAGCGTCCCACTAGCCTGGGAGGAAAGCTCTCAAGTCCTGGATGCACAACAGGCATTGCTCCACAGTGCTGCATCAAATACAATTTAAAAGGAGACGGCATCAAGGAGCAATGATGCAATAGGTCAGAGTGGAGATGGCTTCGGGCTCCCCTTTCAAGGGACCCCTAAGAGGCACTGCTCTGCTGAGGTGTTTGTGAGAGTGTGGGGGAAGGGAGAAGGGACTGTGCCCATTTCCAGGGGCATGGGCCAGGGAGAGGCATTGCAGGTGGGTAACACCCGGTGGGAATACACAGGCCACAGCAAAGTGAAGGGGCAGGATATTATCCTGCTTTCCCAAGTGACTCAGTTCCTTGCTCTGAGTTCTCACCTCCTCTTGCAGCTGCCTGGGGACAGAGACTGTTGCAGCAAGGCCTTCCTGTGAACAGAGGGCAATTTCTTAAAACCTTGGGGCTGTGTAATATGTAACATGTGCGAGTAGCACAGCGATCTTAGGAACTGCGTGGAGAAAGCTTAGTTCCTGGAAGGAGGCTGAGCAAGAGATTAGAGGAGGTTTAGATTAGACATGAGAGGGAATCTTCAACTAGCTAAGTATTGTAGAGGTCATGGGCCTTCCATGTCCTTTGTTCAGCTGACAGGCATGATCAGTGAGGCCATGATTGTGCCCCATCTAGGCACTGTACAGGCGCATCAGTCCAGAGGCATCTGTTTGAATGTCTGTCATTGGAGCGGCTGCCGAGCGCAGGGAGGTGTTTATCCTCACAGAAGGAAAATCTCAGCTGTCGGCTATTTGCAAAGTGACCCTCCCACTGCCCCCGCCCCATTCACTCATTTGTCTGGGTCTGCGGGGTTGGAGGGGGAAGAATCCCAGTGCTCAAAGATCCTCTCCACTCTGGTATCTTGCACATTTCAGGTAGCAGGCAGGCAGCCAGGCTCTCCCCCCCACACACACACCCCGAGGCACTGCAAGGCAAAGCAATTGCTTGTGTGGGCTCAACAGATGGAGTTTGATCTAAGTAGTGTGGCAGACCAAAAAACAACAACAAAAACCACCCTCTAATTGAGAAGTGAGGGATTGTTGCACTTAATCTGAATAAATCAACCAGGCTCCTTCGCTCGCTGCCAGCAGAGATGAAGGGAGGGCAGATGAGGCTAGCGAGGCCAAGTGGCACGGCAGAGTGGACCAGTGCCAGGATACATGCCTCCGCCCTTTTCTGGGGACACCCACATAGGAGTTTGGGCTCACC